GAAATTCAAACTTAAGTGTAACTAGAATACAATTTTCAAAAAGGCTAAATTTATTATTCTCCACACCATGAAAAATATTTTGTATATAACAAAAAGTACAATTTTCTACATTTTTGAGCTGTTCAAGAACCCTCAGCTTTATATATATGATAAATTTAAAGAAATGTATAATTTTTCTACTAATTTTTTTTTTGAAGTAATAATATATATTAGGAGTAATAATTATGAAATAACATACTCATAAGGTAAATGTATACACAATTTTCTTTTTAAAATATTCTTTACCTGTAAAAATGTTGAATTATTATCAAAACATAAGCCTGTCATAGCATATTTGCAAAACATGACAATTAAAAACCATGTCTCATCAAAAACTTACTAACAAAGAAAATGGCTTATTTAATATGTTTTTTTAAAGGAAATTAAAAATATTAAATATGAAGAATTCAAACAACAAAAGTATAAACAAAATATTGATTATATACTGTTTTTTTTTTACAGATAATTGCAAGTCTTCAAATTTACAACAAAAAAAACATTTTATTTATCGTTTATAGTGATAAACTATAATATAATATATGATATAAATACATATCAATTTTTTATTTTTATCATAAAATATAATTTTATTTAATATTAAATTCAATAAATGTTTAGGTATTCAAGTGTAATCAGGTGACCTATAAAAATGACCCGNTTGTTTAAAGTCCGTCCCCTTATTGATGCAGTTAGAACTATATGTACCTCTATTCCAAAAGAAGAGTACCTTGCGGTGGACGAGCAAATCATACCCACTAAATCCAGATCATCTCTCAAACAATACAACCCTAAAAAACCCCATAAATGGGGCTATAAAGTATTTGTGTTAAGTGGTTTATCTGGATTTAGCTATGATTTTGAAATTTTTGCTGGTGCTCAAACTAATATTATGCCTGATAACTTGCCTTCATTCTCAGTAAGTAGCAATATGGTTGTAAAAATGGCTGCATCAATACCAAGAAATTGCAATTACAAGATATTTTTTGACAACTGGTTTACAAGTATAGACTTACTAATTTATTTGGAGAAAGAAGGTATTCTTCCCCTAGGAACTGCTAGATTAAATCGCTTAACTGGATTAAATATGCCAAGTGAAAAAGATTTTAAAAAAAAAGGTAGAGGCACTTTCTGTGAGAAACTTACAACAATTAATGATGTAACATTATCAGCAGTTTCGTGGTACGATAACAAATTAGTGAACATGGTGTCCACTTATGTTGGAAGTTAGCCAATTGGGGAAAAAAAAAGATTTTTTAGAAGTGAAAAAAAATACAAAATGGTACCGTGCCCCAAGGCAATTGATACATATAACTCTTATATGGGGGGAGTATACGATAACAAATTAGTGAACATGGTGTCCACTTATGTTGGAAGTCAGCCAATTGGGGAAAAAAAAAGATTTTTTAGAAGTAAAAAAAAATACAAAATGGTACCGTGCCCCAAGGCAATCGATACATATAACTCTTATATGGGGGGAGTCGATTTGCTCGATTCAATGCTAGGCTACTACAGAATAAGTATCAAGTCCAAAAAATATTATATCAAAATATTTTTCCATGTTTTGGATTTGTGTGTGGTGAATGCATGGCTGCTATATCGTCGAGTTCATACCGATAACTCTTATTTACCACTAGTAGACTTCAAACTCTTAGTATCGGAAGTTTTATGTGAAAAACAAAAAGTATCACCGAAAAGGAGAGGGAGACCAACTTTAGAAGAAAACACAACTGAGTATATGTATAATGAAAAAAAACGGAGGAGAGGTCCTTGCAAGGAAATTCCTGAACAAGAAGTAAGACTGGATGGGTATGATCATTATCCTATTCATACCAACAATCGTATAAGATGTAAATATCCTGATTGCAATTTTAAGACTATGATAACCTGTCAAAAATGTACAATACCTTTATGTATAAACAAGGAGAGGAACTGTTTCCTTCTTTTCCATACAGTTTAAAATATGCCATATGTATTACAAACATTGTTTAAATTTTTTTGTTACCAGATGTGTGATTGTTATTTTTATATAAAATTTTTTAAATTTTTTTGTTACAAGATATGTGATTGTTATTTTTATATTAAATTTTTAAAAAAAATTTTATTACTAGATATGTGATGGTTATTTTTATACATGTTTTTATATAAAATTGTTTAAATTTTTTTAATTACTAGATATGTGATTATTTTTATATATATTATTATATAAAATTGTTTAAATTTTTTTAATTACAAGACAAGTGATTTTTATTTTTATACACAAAGTAAAAAATATAGTGTGTTATAGTAATGTAAGTATTATTTCATAGCTGCATATGTCCCACATATGGCATATAATAGTGCTGTATACTCTAACGTATAAGATCCAAATATGGCACATAAATATTTTTGGTGCGCATTGTTCCATTTTTGGCACACATTACTCTTTAGGGTTTTTTAGGATCAAAAATGGTCAAAAAATTTTTTTTTAATTTTTTCATGTCACTATGACCCCAAATCTACATAGATATTTTTTTTTGAGAAAAACAATTAATTCATGCAGAAAGGGGTTAATTAGTGAGAAAAAGGTATGGGAAGCTGTGGCATCAATGAAAAAGAATGATACAGTAAGACCAGATGAATTTATCGTTAGAATTATAGAGAATTAATAAAATTCTATTGGAAAAAAAAAGTCAAAATAATGGAAGAGTAGCATTGCGGAGGAGATACACAGTAGCGTAGAAATTATATAGGCATAATGCTCATGAGTCATAATATGAAGATAATTATTAAATGAAACAATAAAATTAACATTTAACTTTATAAAAACATTAATTTTCATAAATATATAAGATTGGTTAGTAAAAGTAATACAAACAATATTAACATATGAGTATTAAATATAAAGTATATAATCGATCATGTACATTGGCAGTGAAATGTTAAGTTTTGATGAAATATTAGCAATTAGCTTATCTTTGCATGTATTTTTATCATCGATAGATTCTGGATTCTCCATATTATATACTTCCATATATATATTTTGGCTGCATAAGCGTTCTAAAAAAAAAATTAATGATAAATTTTATATTCAATCACAGGGTTTTTCAACATAAAAGAACTCTCCAATACATAAGTTTTGAAGTAATTAATAATTATTAATTTTTCTAAAACTTTTAATTATAATTAACAATTATGCAAAGATTACACGGTTAACGTAATTATTATGTATTATGTGTTAAAATTAGTTTAATCCAGTTTATGGAACCATTTAAATCAAATTGCGATGTTTATTTTTAAAACAAAATAAGTTAAATCTTTCAATAATAACAAATGATAATCTTTACAATAGTATGTTGAAAGTTTTTCTCTTTGTTATATCTAACAGAGACGAAGAGTACGGTCGGAAAAAAATTAGCACCAACTCTTCACCTTCTATATAAATTGTTTTTTGTTGTACTTTTAACTGCAGCCCAAAAAACCTAGTACACTGGTGTAGCGGCACAGGGGGACGTGGCATGATTTATGATTTTATAAATGTAATATATGAATAAATAAATATATATATATATATATTATTGTACCACTTATTCATACATAATGATTTTTTTTTTTAATTCTTATGAGCGTCAGTCGAAATTATATTAGAAATACCTTAAATATAAATCTTATAAAGTTTCAGCCTATTTTAACAACTTAAACACGTGCCGATTTGAGCTTAAAGTTTTGTGTAAATTCGTAAAATCCATTGTTTTGACATATAGTCGTTACAATTTTCATTTTACAAAAAATTGTATAAAACAATAAATGTAGTAAAAAACATTTTTTAAAAAAATGGTGTTTTGATATTTTTTTTGTAAAGTGAACTCATTCTAGGAAAAATAACAAAATATATGCGATTTTGCGTATTATAAAATAATCACGAATTTAGTTTTGTATAGTTATACTTTTAATAGGGTTTCTTATTTATTGACAACAATAAAATATATGTTATTATTATGAACATGATTAAAATTTAAGTTTAAGTTAAAATTGATAAATGTCACTTTTATCATATATACTGACTCATAAAATAGTAATCTCGGGAATCTTTGAATTGTCCAAGTACGATAATATTCATACATGTGCAATAGTCGATTCTTTTTTTTACATTTACCGTATACCTCTAACGTTATCTAAATGGAACATTTTTAATTCAATAAAGTAATTGTAAATAGAATCATTATCCTTTATTGAACATTATTTTTCTTGAAGTCATAATTATTGATATCTAGTTAGGTTTTAAGAGTTGTTTGTTAATCAGTAAAAGTACTTTTATTTAAAAATTTTTTTTTGTGGGAGTTTTATTATATAATTAATTAAAATGCCACTTCGTGAAAAAAAATTTATAATTGGCCTTATAAAACATCTAATCACGGGAAGTAAATTACCATTTAGAGGAGATTGTTTAAAAGTTTTAATGTATAATATGAGATTTACAAAATTAAATTTAAACGAAAGTGCTGTTCTAGTTATAAAAGAATATTTAGTTTTTTGAAAGAAAGCTCGAATACCAACTCAAGAACCTCATAAATGTAAAGACAAGTTGAAAAAGTTGTATGAGGAATGGAGATCATTAACAAAAAATGCCAATCAAATTTCTGAAAATTTACGACAAAAAGAAAATATGTTTTTAGAAAAAATCAATGATTTATGATATAGCCCACCAAAACACACTCGAATTGATTGAAATTGAAAAAGATAGGCTATTTTTATATAAACAAAGAGAAAATGGATGTCCAGGTTCAATATTGGGAGTAGATAGAAAACTAAATGGAATTGAAAAACGAAAATTTACTCGTGAAGAATAGATTAACACTAGGCGTGAAACGAATTTAAATACGACGTCTACGTCGACTGGTAAACTCAATTAAATTAATAAAACATAAAATTTTTTATTTTTTAACTTAAGACAATAAAACTAAAAATCAATATTATATTTCACAGAAATTATACATTATTCAGATTTTGATGAATGCGATTTTCATGTAAAATTAAATAAAGAAAAAAACATTCAAAATATTGGAGACGGAATAATTAATGATTCTGAGTTAGTAATAAAGTTTGCAAATGGAGAAAAAATTCCAAATTTAGAAGTTGATACGGTTGTAAAATCTAAACGTGCTCGTAAAGAAATTTTAACACCATGATTAGCTGCAGCACTTGATAAGTGTAAAATAAGTGAGAGAGATACCGTCCATTTACTTACAGCTTTTATGCATGCAATTACACTAGATTCAGCTGATTATTTAATTAATCGTACATTTATCCGTAAAGCAAGGATGATTATCGAAGAACTTATTATGAAAAGGTAAAAAAAAATTTTTTAAGTATAGAAAAATATGTTTTAACAATACATTGGGACACAAAATTTTTAAGTAACATTACTGGACAAAAAGTCGATAGATTAGCAGTAATTGCAACGTCCCATGCAGTTGATAAACTTTTAGCAGTACCAGAAATACCCGCTGGGACTAGTTTAGAAATATGTTTCGCTATTTATGAAATTATTGATAGTTGGGGATTGATAAATAATATCGAAGCGTTTGTTTTTGTTACAACAGCATCTAACACTGGGAAATTTAATAGTACTTGTTCTTTATTAGAAAGGAAAATTGAACGAGATATATTATTTTTCGGCTATCGTCATCATACATACGAAATAATATTATCAACATTTTTTATGATTTGTAAAGTAAGCCTCATGCCAGCACCTTATATTCCGCTATTTAAAAAAATTTAAAAATCAGTGGGGTACCATTATAAAAACTGATTTTTCTACTGGAATTTCTCATACTAGAGTTCGACATATTTTAAATAATGATATTGATGAAATTTTACAGTTTTCTTTTGATAGACTTAATTTATCGTTTCCGCGAGATCATTATAAAGAATTTCTTATTTTAATTATTATTTTTTTGGGAGGTGTCCTTCCAGAAGGAATAAAATTTAAAAAACCAGGAGCATATCATTTAGCACGTTGGATGGCTAAAGGTATATACGGCCTAAAAATTTTCTTATTTAGAAATCAGTTTAAGTTAACTAAACTTTAGGAAAATTCTCTCGCAGAACTTAATTGCTTTATTATATAATGTTACGCTGTGAACTGGTTATTGCCTTAAACAGTGAAATGGTTCCTTTAAATGACATCAGATTTTTAAGAAAATTGCATGAATATTCTAAAATTAATAAAGATATTTCTGAAAATACAATTGGAAAATTTTTAAATCATTTATATTATATGACTAAAGAATGTTCATCTTTTGAATTATTCGATTAAAGAGTAGACGATGAAACAAAATTGAAAATTGCTAAAAAATTATATGAAGACATCTTCAATGAAATAGAAGAAGAGAACGAGACCCCCAAAAAACTAATTTTAAAAAAAGGTGACAATCCATTTTTTTTTTAATGATGACGATAAAACTATTTTAGTTAAACTTATAAGTAAAAAATCTCAAAAGATGTTTAAAAGATTCAATATAAATAGTGATATTTTGAAAACTCATCCCAACACGTGGAATAATTCAGCTAATTATAAATATGGCGAGGAAAAAATTGAAAAACTTAAAGTAGCCAACGATGCAGCAGAAAGAGGGATTAAACTTATTGAGGAATTTTATCATAAAATTAGAAAAAATGAAAAGCAAAAACAATTTCTTCTGCAGATAAATAACACTAATAAATAGTTTTTATAATAAATCATACTATTTATTTTTAATTTTTAGACTATACAAGATTTTTGTGAAGAATATTCAAATCCATCTCTGAATGTTCTTAAAAAAACCTTCTATTTTTTTTTTTATTTAATATTATTTATTTTTTTAATTTTACATAAGTCCATGTTATTTTACAGGCATGAGGTATGTTTTATAATCATGAAACAAAAATAAATTTTTTTTAAAAATATTTATTTTTTTATAAAAGTGAAATTAATTTATTATAGTCAATTATAATTTTTATTACAATAATAAG